TTCTTTCTTTCTTTCTTTCTTTCTTTCTTTCTTTCTTTCTTTCTTTCAAGACAGGGTTTCTTTGTGTAGCCCTGGCTGTCCTAGACTCCCTCTGTAGACGAGGCTAGCCTCGAACTCATAGAGATACGCCTGCCTCTGCCTCCCAAGGGCTGGGATTACAGGGGTGTGCCACCGCGCCCGGGGCCAAACTTTCATATTAACAAAAAAGGTTTCCACGTCATTACTTGGGCAGCTAGTGAATCAGACTGTCCGGCCGTGATTGGCGTCCAACAGCGATACTCAGGGATACAGATGAACTGGGAGGGGCCCAGAAACATAGAATGATTTGTCTAAGACCACTCAATGACGGACGGTTTCCGACTCAACACTAGGGGGCAGCGTCTCCCAGGGTTAGTGTCCAGTCCCGGCCTCATCCCCCATTCCAGCCCTGGCACCTACTGCCGGTGTCCTCTTGGGCAAGACACATCTCTACACTGGGTCAGGTTACCTCAGACTGCTCCCACATCCCTGAGGCTGGGGGGGAGGGGAGGGGAGCCACTGAATGAATCTGTACTTAGCCTGACAGACTGTCAGCTTTTTATTTAAGGTTTTATTAATTTTTAGATGTGGGTGTGTGTGCACAGGGTGTGCGTGTTTGGAAAAGGCCAGACGAGGACTCTGGATCCCCGAGAACTCCGGTTATAGGTTGCTGTGAGCCAGGGTGGGTGCTGGGAACCAAGCCCAAGTCCTCCCTTTTCAGACATCGCATGTGCCCAGGCCGTTCTTGAAGGCAATGATCTTAAAGTAATGACCCTCCGGCCTCTCCCTGCCCCGTTCTAAGCAGTGCTGGAACCGGGGATCCTGTCTGTCAGGCAGCTAGCTGTCTGCCAACTGAGCCCAACCACCACATTCCCGGAATCATCCTGGCTCAAGCCACTGCTTCCCCCTTCAGCGTGGACTCCAGGGGGCGCTCTTGCTCACTCTTTCACGCTCCGCCACGCTGCTTTGCCACTCTAAGCCATGTCGCCTGTGGCTTAACCTTCTCTGGCCTTAACCCACCTGCCCCTTGATGGCCAGTCTCTGCACAAATCCTTTCCTTCTCCCCCTCCTCTTCCTTCTCCTCTTCCTCCTCCTCTTTCTTCCTTCTTTCTTCTTCCTCCTCTTCCTCCTCCTTTCCTTTTCTTTTTAGACAGGGACACACCATGTAGCCTGGAACTCCCTGTGTATATCAGGCTGGCTTTGAACTCAGAGATCCACCAGCCTCAGTCCCCCAGGTATCAGAGCTAATAAATACCATCCTGGTCACACAAGTCCTTCTAATTCTGAAACAGTGCTGTTGCGGTTTAAATGAGATGCCTCCCACAGGCCGGGCATTTGAATACTTGGTCCTCAGTTGGTGACACTGGGAAGGATTAGACGGTAGAGCCTTGCTGGAGGCAGTGTGTCCCTGGGCACGACCCTTGAGGTCTCAGAAGCCTCCTGCTTCGCCCAGTTCACACCCGCTCTTTTTTTTTTTTTTTGGTCAGAGGTCTGAGCTCTCATCTTCCTCCTTGCCCACCTGCTGACATGCTTCTTGGCTATGATGGTGACAGACTTTTAACCCTCTGAAACCGGGAGCCCAAACAAACCCTTCCTTCTATAAGATGCTTGATTGTGGCATTTTGTCTCAGCACTAGGAAGGGAACCAAGACAAGTCCGTAAGGAGCTGATTCTCGGCGGTGGCGGCGGTGGCATGGGGTTAGAGACCCGTTTTTCTGACGGACTGCCTTCTTGGCGGGCCACCAGGCCCTTTGTCATCTGCACCTCCCACCCCGTCACCTCTCAGAAGATAGCCTTCTCCAAGACCAAGACTCCCAGATGTACCTCAGGCCTTTCCACCTGCTGCTCCTTCAGCTCCGTCCCCTGGCTGACTCAGGCCTCTGCTTCAGTGGCCTTCCTCAGAGAGGCTCCCGACTGCCTTCCTAGCACCCTTCCCCCCCCCCCCCCCGCTGCCCTTTGACTTTGCTTCTGTCACTGTCACCTCGACGTTAGTCCTGTTTAGTCTGTTCCCCGATTTGTCTGACTAGTGTTTGTCTCTGAAACCATAAGTGCAGGTTTTCCGGAGGGCAAGGGTCCTCGGCTGCCCAGTACCAGGCATGAGGTCTGTCCTCACTGGAGACCAGGCGATGGCAGAATGACTGGTGTGGCCCTGTGACCATGGCCTTGTACTCACTCACTGCTGCTGTCACCCCACTGACGGCACGAGGTTTACATGTCCGTCGGCCTCCCCCCTCTCCCCCCCAGC